TATTGCGCCGGAAGAACAACGTTTCGCATTAATCGAAAGGGAAGCTTCACGCTCGTACGCGGCTAATTACATAATAATCTCGTGTACGTGGATAATCGTACAATACAACGGATCCTGCGAGTCATTAATCTTGTATAATAAATTAACGTTGATCATTCTGACGAAGGTATATTATGTATATCATGTTATACAGAGTGTACTCGAAAAATAGTAGCTCTAGATTGCTGCGGGGTTATAAGAGCGATGCAAGAGACGTTCGCTCGGATTACTTGGGGGTGGGGAGGGGAGGGGAGGGGGGTTAAGAGATTCCTTATTTTTTGAAAATGCAACACCTCCGAGCGATCTTCTCTCCTTTTTCTCCTCCTTTCTCTCCTACATTCTCGATATTACAAAAAAATGAGGTATATATACCGATATCGACGCTCGCACGAGGTGATACATGGCATAAAATGCTAATAAAGTCCTCGTCGTAAAGTGCAGACACCTTGTACGTTGTCTGGAATACAAGCACGCGAGCAACGTTGTGGCAAAAACGAAGCACTTTAAAGTATAAGAAAGAAAAGAAAAAGAAAGAAAAAAGGGCAGAATGAGGGAAAATCGATCGGTGGTCCTAACACCTATCGGCTTTATAATTTTGATCCTAAATGTCGGCACCTCGTTAAAAAGCGTGATGCCGATGGATGATTTTGTGATTAAATAGATGAGGTTCTCGAGACCGATCGGCGAGATTGCGGTTCGACGAGATTCGTCGTCTTTTTTTTTTTAAACTTTGTTCGCCGAAATCATTTTACTTTCTGACGATACTCGCCGTCGAATCTTAGTCGTCGGAATGTCGGAACTTTTAATGAAGATCGTTATCTTCTAATTAAAAGTGGTTTGCAAATCTTATGTTCTGCCAATTTCTAAAAAAAAAAAAGAGAGGGACACTCTAAAAACGATGAAACTTTTGACGCTATATTTCTGCTTATGAAGAAGATTCGGCGCAAACCTAAACATTTCTAAAACTAACTCTGAAACTTTGCAAAAATAAAATACATGCAAATCTAATCACATAGCAATTTTCTGTTTTAGTTGATATACGATTTGAAAATATTCCTTTAAAGAAAATCTCATTTTCTATATTTTAGAAATTATAAGAGGAACTATAATTATTAAAAAATATTAAATACAAATGTTTATGATTTTGTCATAACTGACCTGCACCAATACGAGATATACAATAAGAAAGTTTTTTAATTTTGTTTATGTTTTTCTTATCATTATTTTAATAAAAAATTTTATGATTTAATAACCAAATAAAATGTCTCACCAATTATTTGTAATTATGTATGAATTGGAGATTGTAATTTTTCGAAACGCGTGAAATTAATCCTTAATGTCCGAAAAAAATATTAGAGAGTAAACATTGGAAAATAAACATTGAAAAATACAACAATATAAATAATAGATATTCGAGATAAATAATGTTACAAGTTATTTGATTTAATTCTATTGTATGATACAAACAATATAATAAAGTAACATTCTACAATGAATTCAAACATGAGATAATTTTCATAACACGCAAATTAATGTTTATTTTTCCGCGCGAGCGTGTTTACTACATAACTATACTAAATGATTAAAGAAATGGTAACAAAATATTACAATATTTTTTTTTAATCTCATATTGTTCTAGATCATAAAAAATCATGAACTTTTGTATTTTATGAGAGTTGTTGAATATGTATAGATCGTTTATATCGTACCCTCAATCAACATTTTATATTGTTATTAATATGCAATTTTATGACAAAAATGTGAAAAATCTGAAATAAATGAGAAATACGTAATATAGATAAAAATTTAACAGTTACATTCTGTTTTGTGCATGTTAATAATACGTAAAAAAAATGTAATACAACTGATATTAATTTTTGACGAGATTTTCGATCAATAATTTATGTAACTTATATATAATAATATTGTGCAATTTTATACTTTCATATAATTTTATATTTTCATATAAAAGAAACATTCATACAAAAGAAAGAGTTCTTTGATCATTCTATGCTTGGTTTGCCGTTGTCTTAATAAAAATTATTGATTCTTTATTAGTGATCATTTAGCTATTCAACTAATTGACAATGATGCTTCGCAAGTTTGAATTTGAGGAGGCTCCCTTAGCTGCGGGCTTGCATCTTATCGGAAATCATTATGTTATTTGGACATCGCTGATAATGGAAATACATTGTTAACGTACGACGCTTTAATTACTGCGTCTTAATTTTTGCTCTCAATTGCCCGTCTATTAATATATTTTTTATTGTTAATCTCGAGAGGTCAATTTTATTCTTAAATTTATATATATATAAGAAAGTTTATTTTATTAAATTTATTATATTACTATAATATTTTAATCTATCATATCATTATAATGTTTACATTAGTAGAGTATTTTATATTTATTACACATTGCACATATATATTTGCAATTATTATACAGATTAAATCGATATTTTTTAAAATCTATCAAGTTTTTTAAGTTTTCAGTACAAATTTTATTACAATAAATAATATTAATATAAAACTGATATTTTAAACTGGTAATAGTAAAATTAATAATTAGTATAAATAAAAATGACATATAAATGTAAGAAAAATAGCAAATAAATTAATCAATTATATTTGCTTTTTTATGCAAGTAGTAAAGCCGATAGTTTGTGTTATATTTATTACTCAATACCAACTTAAAATGCGAATGTGTGACTCTCAGCATGCTATTGATGCGCATTCCTCGCTTTCACTTGCGTTTGTGCATCAACGTAAGTCGCGTGGAACATGCTGCCTTAAACGTCTGCTCGTAATAAGGCTCAATAATGCGGGCATAATGTAACAATAACCTGCTTCGAACAATGTTGTCGGCGCAACAATGCCGTCCGCTTAACACGTGCGTTTACGCCCATTGATTTCATTCAGAGAAGTGTAGCCAGTGCCAGACCAAAGTCAGTAAATTCAATGTTACCGCCGTCGATGCACTGCAAGTGCGTAATTACAGAAATCCTTGCACTGCACTTTGGAGAAATCGAGACAGAGCGAGAAATGATTTTATTCCAATTTAACAGCGCGGAAGCGTAACCGCGCACGTTTACAAACTGAATTTAGTAGGAAATGTAATTTCTCTCCCGGAAGATAACGCTTCAATATTTGTCATTGTGTGCGTATATACGTGCTTCTAGCTATTGAAAAATTAATAGTTATTTTTAAAATTAATAAGAGTTAATAGTTATTTTTAAAAGTTAATATTTTTAAAAAGATTTTTAAAAGTATAACTCACGTTTATTATTTTTATAATTTTTAATAAAAACAAACGTGTTTTATAAATCAAAACTTATGAAAAGAAGAGCAAAAATCATCGCACAAGATATTGTTTGTGATATTTAATTATCATTACATTAATAAAACATTAGACATTTCGGCTACAATCTGGGCATCTTCAGTAAATTCACAATATTCTTAAAACGCAGAATTACATATAGCTGACATTAAATTCAACCGTCGTGTAATATAACTGTATAAACTATGTATAAACTATGTATAATAACTATGTATAAATGTGTTCTTTCATCATGTGAAGGTGCTTCGTACAACAATGTTACAGCGCCAATTGTCATATTACAAAATATGTAGAACAAGAATT